AATAAAAAATAAAAAAATTGGCAGTGAACACGTGCTGCTTGTGCTTGAGGCCTCCTATAAAATCTCCCCCAAAATCCCATGAATTCCATCCCAAGGAGCGTACGCGCTTATTTCTCTCTTTCTCGCAGATTTTATAGAACGCTCCCTACATTTTTTGGACCAAGATTTTCCCCAAATCTACAAATTAGAGAAGGAACTGCGAACCAATTTGACTGTTTTCAATTCCTCTTCTTCGAGATCTACGTTTTCGTCCTTCTTGGTACATTCTGCTCTATTATTTGTCCCTAACTTTTCACTTTTGTGTGTGGAATTCAATTAGATCTGATGCATTTTTCACTTCATTATGCTGGTTTCATCTTCTTGAACCCTCGTTTCGAATTAGATCCTCGAATCTTGTGATTATTTATCTGTATTGTATATATTTGTTTTGATGAAGACATCGGTAATGTGCAGGTCTTTGTGTTCTTTCTGATTCGAATTCTTTTTATGGAACATTTTTCGTTCCTAATTGAAGCCCTCGTGTTTTTACCCCATTGATTTATTTTGTCTGTCCCCAGTTTTAGCAATGTGATTTATTCAGAATTGATGTTAATAATTTGATTGCGTGAACCGAACTTTTGGGTCTGGTGCTGGTGAGTGATTTAACGCTTTGGTAGAATTTTAACGCGTGTGGCTGTTTATGGTTTCTAAGCAGTTAAAGAAATCGTTTGAGTTTACTTTTGATTTTCAATATCCCTTATCTATTTGGTTGAATTACTGCAAGTGTAGCATTGGAGAATATTATATCTGAAGATTTGGGGCATCCACTTCCAATGGGTTCTTGTACTGGGGTGACTCATCCTGCGGTTAGCAATGGAGATGTGGAGCAGCCATTCAAGATCTTTGTGGGCTACGATGTTCGTGAAGATCTTGCTTATGAGGTGTGTCGCCATTCCATCTTGAAGCGATCTTCAATCCCTGTTGAGATCATTCCAATCAAGCAGTCAGATCTGAGAAAGAAGGGTGTCTATTGGCGTGAGAGAGGACAATTTGAGAGCACCGAGTTCTCGTTCTCTCGGTTCTTAACCCCGTACCTGGCGAATTACAAAGGATGGGCAATGTTTGTCGACTGTGATTTTTTGTACCTAGCAGACATTAAGGAACTGAGAGACTTGGTTGACAATAAGTATGCAGTTATGTGTGTGCACCATGATTACACACCAAAAGAAACTACAAAAATGGATGGTGCAGTGCAAACTGTGTACCCAAGGAAGAACTGGTCTTCCATGGTTTTGTACAACTGTGGGCACTCAAAGAACAAAGTCTTGACACCTGAGATTGTGAACACCCAAACTGGTGCTTTTCTTCACAGGTTCCAATGGCTTGAGGATGATGAAATTGGGTCAGTCCCATTTGTTTGGAACTTCCTTGAGGGCCATAACAAGAGTGTAGAGGGTGATCTCACCACTCTCCCAAAAGCAATCCATTACACTCGCGGTGGGCCATGGTTCGAAGCTTGGAAGAACTGTGAATTTGCAGATCTCTGGCTGAAAGAGAAGGAGGAGTATCTGATGAATGAGGCTAAGAAGAAATCTGAAGAATAGATGATGATATGCAGCAGCAGGCCATGAAAGTAAGCTCCAGAGGGTTAAATGGTGGAATTGAAATTCTTTTCATTTTTGCTTAATATTCTTTAGGTTGGTTTTGTAGATTCCATTTTGGAATATCAAATTGTGTGGAGTCCTGGAAAATGGTGATTTGTAGTGTGTATTTGTAGTAGTTCATTCCCGGTATTGCAGGGATACGTGGTTCATTTACTATTTTGTTATTGTTTCGTAGTTCAAGTGGTCAGACATTAGTAGTATCTTTCTAAATCCGGAGGTTGTAATCTCCCTCATTTGTAATGTAATATCCTCGAGTAAAAAAAACTATGTTATGAATGTACAATTGTAACTTGTAATTAAGTTCTCAATATTCATTTGTTTAACTATTTGAAGGCTCTCTCATGTCCCATCTTTATCTCAGTCACCTCTTTCTCGTTAATTTGTGGCCAGTCGTACTTTCTATATTCATATTGGCTCTCCCTTCGCATGGCATGGGCCAGCTGGAGAATCCCTATTTCCATTGTCTTTTTGCGTGGACGTTTTTCTGTTTGTTTGATAGCAACGTTGGAGATCTTTCATAAAATATTTTTATGCCTTTTACATTAGAAGGATTTTTCATTACATTTTGGTTATTCTTTCTTTTTTTCATATATATTTTATTTCATTTTTATTATTTAATTTTTTAATTAAAATAAACTAATGTACTTGTTCACTAATTAATAACTCTATGTAATTTAGTATATTTATATATTACATTTATCAATAAAATAAACTTCAATTAAATTATATAATAACTCTATTTATTTGGTGGGTAGATTCTATATATGTTAAAACAATTATATAGAATCCAATATTATTCTCAATTCTTTTGATCTGATTTGATAAGGTAGAAATATAATTCAATAAAATGTCATCATTTATATAATTTTCTTTTGAGAAAAAGGGTGAAGTTAAAATTGGAATGAATAGTTAATATCAAATATTTTATAAAAATATTTTACAAAATAACATTTAAATTTAATACAAACTAAAGTGATAAAAAAAACTATTAAATTAATAAATACGTAAAAGTCAAAGTACATGAATATTTGTAAGGGCTTTTCTTTGGAACAAATATATAATGTTTGAACATTCATAAGTAAAGATAGCTAATCAAATATTCTTATACATCATTATAAATTTTCCTACAAAACTATCTAGAGATGAATCGATCCTTGAAAACAAAGGACACCTCAAGGTTTTAAATGTCGATGTTGGTAGAAATGTCAAGATCTTAATTTTATTGACATATTGATGGAAATAAGATAAAATGTCGATATCAATAGATATTGCAGAAAAAATATCGATGGCTATTGCTATAAAAATATGGATATTAATGGATATTGTTGGAAAATGTCAATATTGAGAGATATTGTAGAAAATATTATACAAATAAAAAAATAATAACAAATTTAAATTAACAACTAAGTTTTTTATACTTCTAAAATAAATAAAAAATTATTAATATTAATATTATGTATTGACTTTATTGTGATAGCATAGAAATGTTGTTTCACCTCAAATATTTTAATGTGAAACCTACCGACATCTAAGAATTTTACATTGAGATATTGAGGGAGCATTAATTTATGGTCAATCCTACAAAATTAATTCCATTGTTTTTTAATAGTGTTTCATGAGCTTTTTATTTTTAAATGAGTAGTATTTAGTTAAAGTTTTAAACTTCTACGTGGGTGGAGATTCGAACTCACGACCTCTTTATTTAACTTATTTATTTAAGATATCAATTTGAGCAACTCACTTTGAAATTTAAAATTTTAAACTTTAACGAATAGTAAAATATATTTTTAACTCCTTTAAATTCTTCTTTTACTTGAAATTGACTGTTCTTATCATTTATTTATTTTTAACACAGAGTGATTAGAGAATATATATCTCTTCATAGATTGTACGATTGAATCATTCTCCACATCGACGAGGGAATATTATTAAAGACAAAAAAGAAAAAAAAAACTCTAATCAATTATCGATCACGAAATGTAGATAGAATCTTGCTTGTGACAATACAAGAGATGTTTGGAGGCAAAACAACAAGATGGCTTGGAAAGTCTTTCATGTTCTTGTTTTTTCCATCTTTTGCTTTTTAAAAAAGTAGTCAATATGCTACTGATAGTGCTGTCCTCATTTTCATCTTTAAATGGTTGGAGATTATTCTTTATTTGTTACATAAGCTTGGGAGTGGAGCCACAATAATAGAGGTATGAAAATTTGAATTAATTATCATATTATATGATCCCGTTGTTAGTATTATTGACTAAACGATTACATGATTTGCTCTAGAATGAATGTTGACTTATTTGACACAACACATGTGATAAAAGAAAGTGATACGTGCACTATACTTCTACTATTGCAAAACAACACATCAAATAAAATCTCTTTTATAGGATGTGCCACTTCATTTTGTCGAAAAATTGTTCTTATTCTTATTATTTTTTTCACTTTTTATCACATGATGTCAAATTAGTAAAACATTGGCCATTTAGGTTAGTGTCCTTGAAGTCACAAACAAATAACCTCGAAAAGAATCCTTTTCAAAATTAGACATTGTCAGATGAAATTTAATCTTTCAAGTCTAAAGCCAAATACTTCTTATTTTTGCCATTTTTGTGTTATACTCGCATATTAAGAAACATCCTGGTAGGTTTAGTCAATCTAACTGGTGGAGTGCGTTTCAATTTTTTTAATGAAGAACATGTTTTCTTTATCTTAAAAGGTAGTAATCATCTCTATTGAAGATAAGAACTACTTTCACTCAACGAGGACCTCTAATTTTAATTTTGATTTACTATGATTTGAAAATGAGATGAAAAACTACTTGTAATTTGTGCAGCCCAAATAACAAACACTTAAACATGATCTTAGAAATTTGTCACTAACTCGAAAATTAGATTTAGACATGAATTGCTTTTTGATTGAAGTACCAAAAAGTAAGAAAACTTATCCTGGTTGAAACACTCCATCAAATCTGGTGATCATCAATAAAAACGGATAAATTGCACAAACCACTCTCTTTGAATAGGGTAGTTGTCACAATTGCACCCATAAACTTTCAATTATAAAAATTAAACCCACATCTTCATGGTCAAAGTGAGCATAGCTCAACGGTAATTGACATATATCTCAAACCAAGAGTTTGCGAGTTTGATCTCCCACTCCCCACATGTTGTACTAAAAAAAACCCACATTTTCATAAGTGAAAAAATTAGACCTCCAAACATTTAATAATAAAAATTGAACTCTTAAACTTTCATAAACGATAAAATTGCACCCTTAAATTTTCAACTATAAATCTTAAACCTTTAAGCTCGAAAAAAATTAGATTGATTTTACTCTATTTCTCTCCACATTTCTTCTTTATCTATTTGCACTCTCCAACCCTTATTTGTGAGTTATATATCTATTTTAAAAGATTAAAAAGAAAAGGTTTAAGAATATGCCTGACTGAGTGGATGAGTATTATGAAAACAGTCTTTTCTAATGACCAATATTTTTTTATATGATCCATAGCCCCAATTTTTCTCAAGGCCCAATCACAACATTTGAAGAAAAATGGCCAATACAACTAAGGACCCAAAACTAAGCACTCACTGAAAAACTCAATTGTTTTCCATCTTGATCCTTTGAACTCTTACAATTTGGACCTTATTTTTGTGTAATGGCATAAGCCCAAACCCTAAACTTTATCTTGGTTCAATGTTTTATGTAAGTGCAAAAGTCCAAACCCTAAACCCTAACCCAATCCCTAAATTGTTTGTTTTAGGGTTTTGAAGTCCTCGTTACTGGCCAACCAAAGGTATGAATGAAGGGGTTAATTGTTGTGTTCTTTATAACCCCTTCAGAATATTTTGTTTCTAAAATAACTTCAAAAAAGGTGGTGGCATGTATGGAGGCATTGATTGAATATACATGGTACAATAGCTCTTGAATAAAGTGTTATTTTCATGCCAAAGCGAGCATAGCTCAGCGGCAATTGACATATACCTCCAACCATAAGGTTGCGAGTTTTAATTCTCTCCCCCACATGTTGTACTAAAAAAAAGTGTTATTTCCATGTCTTAAGAAGTTGAAGGCATATTTGAGATGAAAGATCGCTACCATAATTTCTATCAACATCCATAAATTTTTGTTTGATGGATCATTTTTCATTGGGATAAGTCGTCAACGTCGATGCTACTGACAAAACTACCTTATGATGACAAAATTCTTGTTTCATCGAGAATTTTGCTGACGAATTTAGTTATTATCGACTGGACTACCAACAAAAATAAAATTTAGAATTCTTAAATTATTCTTTATTATAATATGGTTGAATATTTTATTTACAAATGGAATAATATTTGTATTGGAATGCAAATAATTAAAAAAATTAAAAAAATTCTGAGTTACACTAATATTTCTTGAAAATTATATTTGGATGCTCAGAAGAGAAATGAAATGTCACATAATTTTCCTTGAAAAAAAATTAAAAAAAAGGGAGACGCAGCCTAATTGGGAGAATAGTAAATTTTTTATTATTTTGATTGTAATATGGTTCAATACATGTCCCAACAACTTTAACCTTTAAATTCATCCATTTGAATTTAGCTCAACGGATTAAGACATTCCGTTCCAACTCAAATGTGTTAAGTTCAAATCCACATCTACGCGTGATATTGTTATATTAAAAAAAACCTCATAAATAGTAGGTAAACTAAATATATATTAAAAAGTTTATGGTAAAAATGATTATATATATAAATTAAGAATAGATTTAATATATTATTCTATATATATATATAAATTAAGAGTGAAATGAATATATAATTTTTTTTCCGTAGCTTTGACATTCATGCATTATTATAGATATAGATAGATGAATTATGTGATATAGACATACACGATATAGATGGATTATTGAAAAGGATAGACATACACGATAAATCTCTCGGACTCAAACCCATGAAAAGTTGAAGGAGAGAGGAGTCAAGAGAGAAAAATTATAGAAGATTCGGGTCGTTTGAAAGCGCAAGTCTATGGAAGCTAGGAGAACAATAAAGAAAAAGGTCTAACTAATAAAGGAAGATAATTTTCATCTTCAAAATGTAAGAAATTTATCAAAACAATAGTCTCTAGGTGTGATTTAGTTCAATAGTAATTGATATATATTTACAGTCAAGAGATTGTGAGTTCGATCTCGCACCTCTATATGTTGTACTAAAAAAAAAGTGYGATTGTACTCTTGGATTATTCTTTGTTTGTCTCTTTCAAATTCTCTTGCCCCCAAATTATATAATGTGGTTTAAAAAATGTGATTAAGAATTTGATTTTTTATCTATATACCTCATAACCACGTCATATTTTCATATTTATTTTAAGCGAGATAAGCTAATGAAAGGATTGTTTTAAATCGTTTCACGTTAACTAAAATAAAATTTTTAAAATGATAACGGCGTAATCGAAACATATCCTAAGTTTAGAAACATAAGTGAAATCTAGAATATTTGTCACTTGTACCACTAATTTTACACATCATTGTCACGTCTTTATTTAACAAAGTTTTAAAATAAATTTAAAATTGAAGGATAAAGATAGAAACTTTTTAGAGTGGAAGGGTGTTCCTCAAGCTTATCCTAAAATTAAATTTCACGTCGAATTTAACCTTAAAAAGAAAAAGGAGAAAAGAAAAAACCAAACTATTTGGAGGAGAAATCCTCTCTTATAGAGAAACATACGCAAGGTATCGATCTGAACTTGATAAAAGAGTTGTACGTTTTTTACCAACAACACTTTATTACTTCACCATGTTACTTTTTTATTTATTTTATTTATTTTTTTAGTTTTAGTTTTAGTTTAGGGTTAAATATACAAATGGATAAATTTGATATAAAATATTTGTAGATATTATGTTTATTTAAAACATAGCGGTTTAAACTATCAACTTAATTTAAGTTAAGGTATAGATTATTTATTTATTATTGATCAAAATGTTAGAGCTTCGGTCCTCACTCTCAATGTTTTGTTTTTGTTTAGATTAACTGAATATTTGTTTGACATATTTATTTTTTAAAATTGTCTTTGGTAACTATGATCAAAATAGTGAAATTTTCAAAAACAACATTTGTGTGTTTTCAGATTTTGAATTAAAAATGCTTTTTAAAATACAAAATTACGTTAGAAAATATTAAAATGTTGATAAATTATACTAATGTCGTAAATTCATCTCTTTTTTTTTTAAAATTAAAACATATAAAATATAATATATTTATAAATTATATAATATTGTGAAATAGTAATTCTACAAAATTTATAACACATATATTAATAAATTGATTAATAATATTTTAGATTGAGCTAAATATTTAATTGGTAAGTACCCGATACAACTCTAACAAATTTTTAAATTGAAATTGAATTTTCAAAGTTGCTATCAAACCTGTATCAAAAAATAAAACATAAAATAAAACATAGAATACAACTCTATTTTCTATTAAGTCACTTTTTCATATTTATGTTTTCAGATTACCAACCAGACACAAATTTAATATTTACATAATAAAATTAAAATTTTTAAGATGTCGTTTGACCATCCTTTTATTTTATTTTTCATTCTTTAAAATTAAGTGTATAAACATCACTTCCCCTCATTTATTTTTTTATCTTGATATTTACAATTTTAAAGTATTTTCATAATCTAACCAAAAATTAGAAATTTGGTTAAAAATTCAATTTTATTTTTAAGAAAAGCCAAAAACATACCTAAAAAAGTTTGAGAAATTAATCACAATTTTTTAAAATTAAAAATGAAATCGTTATCGAATGAGTCTAAATATAATTGATAAAATTCGTAAGGAACACAAATTAAGCATAATTTAGAAAAAATATTAAAAACTAACAGCTAGATATATAATTGCTAAAGGTAAATAAAAAAATAAGTAAACGAGTGATCACTATTAATAAATCTATACATTAATTCGAATGATCATAGTTAATCAATATCTAATAATTGATTTATATTAATCAATGAGTATGATAAGAAATAGAAAACACACTAAAAAATACTTAGTAAATATATATTTTAAATAGCCACCAAATTGAAAATTTTCATTTATTGATGAAAGTGATATACTTGACCACAAATTTATTTGATAATTTTATCTTTCACGAAAAAGAAAAAAAGAAGAGAAAGGGGGAAATTCCCAAAAAGAAGGATGGGAAAATTCCTGAAGAAGGATATGGGAACCGCAGCAATTGCTGTTGAACGCCCCATGGCTGACGTGGATCTTTACATAAAATATTTATTTAATTCAATTTAAAAATAAATAACATAAATTTTTTTTTTTTTTTTGCAAAGGAATATAAATTTTTTTTCTCTGTAATAAATTGTGGAGTTTACGAACAGCTTTAGCTCTTCCCTCTCTCTCTCTTTGTTCGTGGGTTTCAGGTTCCATGGATTACCAGAAATGGACTTCTTCGGAGATGGAGACTCTGAATCAGAAATCTTAAGCATCGATTGATTAAATGAGTCAGGTTTCTTTTCCTCTTCGTTTCTTCTTCTAATTATTATTGCCGATTTTGTTGTTGCTGCCTGTTCTTTTCTCCGTTCTTCGATTTTGAGAGCTAATGTGTTTATTTGATGTTTTTTTTTTTCTGCAATATGCCCCGGCTTTTGATTTTGGTTAGTCTGGGACGTACTTAATTTATTTCTGCAGATTTCATTTGGCTTATGAGGCTTTTGTGGGGATTGTTTTGGTTTTATACGATTTAAGTTTTTCGATGTTCTTGTGGAACTGCTTGAATCTAGCTTTTATCGCTTATAATACTGAGCAATTCCTGTTTTTAGATGTTTGTGTATCTGTCGGCGACATGATGTAGTATTCTTAATGCGTACCGTAACACCCGTTCTATTAAACCAGACGTGTTATAATGCACCAAAAGCTCGAATTCTAGCTAATATAACATCTGATCGAATGGTACTAATACAGATGACTGCCAAATAACATAATTCGTGTACGATATAAATTCCCAGATGTTATATGCTGGAAATAACATCCTAGGTGAAGAATATACGAGTTGTTCAGTAGGTACAGGAATATAAAGCTATCTTCGTGAAGAGTTCGCTACATCATGCCCTGAAAGTAGCACGCTTCATTGTGGAAGTTTTATCATCTCTCTTTATGAATTATTTTGTGCCTGTTAACCAAGATTGTTTCGCCTCAATGACTGAGAATTCTGATTGAATGAGCGTGTGATGTTGCATAGGTATAGTTGTTTAAGTGTGATAGTATTATCTGTGGCAAGGCTGAGATAATGATGTTGTGCTATTGTATTATAGAGTTTTTATTTTTTTCCTTGGGTGCTTTCTGTAATTTCCCATCTGTTTGTACTTTTTTTTTATTTTATAAAATTCACAATTGGGTCCTATCTGTTTCAGTTCCCATCTGTTTGGTTTTTTTTTTTAATTCACAAATGACTTGGAAACTTCCCCATCTCTCTTCTCTTCTGTTTTCTCTTTTGATGTTTACTCATTTGTTTTGAGTTGGCATGTTGGATTGGTTAACATATATACTCGATTTTGAGGGAGAGTGTTACAGTGTGTATTAATGTAAATATTATGTTAGGATGCTTTAATCCAATCTAAGTTGGAATTTTCTTTGGGGAAGAGTCTAAGTTGCCGGTCCATTTCTGCAATTTCATAAAGAAGATTTTAGAGGTTTAAGCCCCTTCTTCAATAATGTTAGGCAAGGTCCTTTTGCACTCTTTGACTTAGCCCTCGCTTTAGTTTTTGGGTTAACTGATAGAGACTTGTATAAGAATAGGCTACTTTTTGGCAATTTTGGAAGCTTTTCCAAGTGGGGAACTAATCCTAATGCTCTTGGATATGGTTGCCTTGCTTATTTTAGTTGAGCTCTACCATATCTTAGATACAATAGTTTATTAGTGAAAATGATCTAGTAGTTTAAAATTTTCTCTTTTCTATGTCTAATTTCATTGGCTCATTTTGAGCCATGTTCTTAAAATCGTTCTACTGCCTCACCTTGGGGCTTACACCTATGCCACATAAAAAGAGGCTTACGCGTCTGAAGATACTAGATAGAGGAGGCGTAAGCACTGCTTAGGTCTTTTGAGGCTGGAAAGGCATAAGCTTCAAATTCCAGCTACACAGAAAGTTTTAAGTGGTGGATTTGGCAGTAGTTGGCCTACTTAATGTAATTAGCTTCTTTAGCTCCGTTTATTATTTACTGCTGTTTTCTTTGGTGGCAAGGAATAAACTGATTTTTCTTTTGTTTGTTCAGTTTTTTTTTTCATCTTTTCTGTGATGCCATGCCACTGCCACCTCAAACTTTTTTGCTGTTTTATGGTTTTACAAATTTTAAACAAATATTACTTTGATATTTTACTAGTGTCCTTATTTTGTTAAGTTTTGTTTTCAGTTTTAACTTCTAATTAAAAAAAATGGATTTGTTTTTTTCTTGTGTTTTTTTGTGTTCAACCTTACTTGAAATATTTTCCGAATTTGAGCCTCTGGGTTGTGAATAAGGGAAAGGCAAATTCTTGACTCGAACAACTGGACTAGGAATGACCTGCACAAAAGGAACAGTGAGCTAATGCCGGCATGGTGCCGGCACAACACGCTCTGAAGTTTAAGTAAGCGTAGAGCTTGATAGGAGAATTATGCAACTTGTGGGATTGAGAAGGGAGAAAAGCCTTACTTCCCTTGCTTGGGACCCCGACATTTATAGGGGTTCTCTAGCTTCTTTTGGAGGGCTAGCTCAAAATTGATTGTCTTATTCTATATTACTATTTATGTCTATTTATTATACTTAAAGAAATGTTTGATACGAGCCTAATTAGTGTCAGATCCATATTCACTTCATACAACTAGATACATGTCTAATGTGCTAACAAGTGTTAGATTGTGTCCAATAAGTATTAGATTGTCTGAGTATCCAATACATGTTGGACATAGACATCTTATCCAAACTAAAGTGTCAGTACTTCTTAGTATTATATGTAGGTTTGCATATATTACTTATGTGTATAGATATAAACATTAAAAAAGATGAATTGTAGTCTATTTTAGACGGTATTAAAGTTTCTTCAAATTCAAATACTTTTTCTCTAAGAAGCACGGACACGGATACGGGACACGGACACGGACACGATAGGACACGGCGATACGTCAATTCCTAAAAAATTAGGACACGGACACGTTG